GGGGTTGAGCTCGGGTCCTTGCGCTTGCAAGGCAGGCCAACGAACTGCTGATCTAAATCCCCAGCCCTCAACTCAACTTCTTATAGAAGCAGAAAAAAGTGTTTAGTTCCATTTAGCCTTCCCAGTGATCTAAATACAAATTCTAATCCATTGAAGAAATACAAAAATGTTCTGTTATGATACTATGATCACTAATTTACATCATTGTTTCACTGAGCAAGTAAGACCAATAGAGCTTTCTTAATATACTAAATAAAAGAATGTAAACATCAAAATTTTTTACATTTTAAAAATTTCTATTCCAGTTGATAAATTATAAGTGTATTGCTCCTGTGGAGTATAATGTAATTATATGTATGTATGTATGTATGTATATATATATGTAGAGTGATTAAATGAACCAAATCAACATGTATCACTTTACTTAATGATTTTGAAGTGGCACATTTAAATTGAACTCTCTTTGTTAAAAACTCTTAAAATATTTTTACTATTCAGAATTCTTAACTTGCCTTGCAGTTTTAGTCACTCTTTTTTTTTGGTACCTGGGATTGAACTCTGGCCCTTATACTTACAAGGCAGACAGCAGAACCACTGAGCCAAATTCCTGGCTGCCTTGCAGTTTTAAACGGACTTAGTTACGATGGAAGAAAGAAGTTTGGAAAACATACAGTAAAAACTAAGGAACTTGATGGTCTTCCTTCACATTCCTCAGGTCTTCTTTTCTGTATTGATGGGGACTTTAAGTATTGGACAGGCATCTCCGAATATTGAAGCATTTGCCAATGCAAGAGGAGCGGCTTACGAAATCTTCAAGATAATTGACAATGTAAGTCACGGATGCCTTGTCACCAAGAGCAGATTTTCTCTTAAGCATTTATTTCGTTACCATTTTTTCTGGTTTCCCCCGAAATATCACTGAGAGGAAGTTACTGCAACTCATTCACTTACTGATCTTCTGAACGTTGATTCTGTGTAGGAGCCGTGCATTGACAGCTTCTCAACCAGCGGCCACAAACCGGACAATATTAAGGGCAACGTGGAATTCAGCAATATCCACTTCAGTTACCCGTCCCGAAAAGAGGTCAAGGTATGACGGTAACTGATTAATGAGTGACTGGACAATATGTTGGATGAAAAGTTTCTGTCTCTAAGAGCTGTGAAAAAGGAAAAATGCATGTGTGCTGTAGCCTGGTATTGAATAGAGCTGCTAATTCACGAGGCCTCTCTCTGTGTGACCTGTGGCGAAGTCTGCCTCTCCCTTGCCTCGGTAGATCTTGAAGGGCCTCAGCCTGAAGGTGCAGAGTGGGTGAGTGACTGGACAATATGTTGGATGAAAAGTTTCTGTCTCTAAGAGCTGTGAAAAAGGAAAAATGCATGTGTGCTGTAGCCTGGTATTGAATAGAGCTGCTAATTCACGAGGCCTCTCTCTGTGTGACCTGTGGCGAAGTCTGCCTCTCCCTTGCCTCGGTAGATCTTGAAGGGCCTCAGCCTGAAGGTGCAGAGTGGGCAGAGAGTGGCCCTGGTTGGAAACAGCGGCTGTGGGAAGAGCACGACGGTGCAGCTGCTGCAGAGGCTCTATGACCCCAGCGAGGGCACGGTGAGCGGGACGTGGGCCCTCAGCAGTCGCCGCTGCAGATCCTTCTCCTGCTGTGGTCTCCACTGCAAATGTGTGGACATCTGACTCGTTTTTGCTTTCAGGTCACTATTGATGGACAGGACATCAGGACCATAAATGTGAGGTATCTGCGGGAAATGATCGGTGTGGTGAGTCAGGAACCGGTGCTGTTTGCCACCACAATAGCTGAAAACATCCGCTATGGTCGAGAAAACGTCACCATGGATGAGATTCAGAAAGCTGTCAAGGAAGCCAACGCCTATGACTTCATCATGAAACTGCCCCATGTGAGTGGTTCATTCAAGAGGTGCAAAGCACAGAGCTCTGGTCCAGCAGAATCCACCTAGAGTTAGGAAGCGACTACACATTGGAGGAGTAGCCTAAGGATGGAAACCAAGCTTAGCCTGTGTGTAGCAAGGGCAGTTAGCAGTAGATACAGTTTTTGAAGGTGGGGCTATGTGTTGCTGATTTGAAAGCCTGGGATTGTAGCACCTCTGTTGATTGCGTGGTTTATGGGATTACATGTCACTTTAAAATGTGAATGTGAAATAACCTGTGCTCTTGCTCAGGCCTTTGGTGCTTTTTCTGTTGTAGAAATTTGACACCATGGTTGGAGAGAGAGGGGCCCAGCTGAGTGGTGGACAGAAGCAGAGAATCGCCATAGCCCGCGCCCTGGTGCGCAACCCCAAGATCCTGCTGCTGGACGAGGCCACGTCGGCCTTGGACACAGAGAGTGAAGCAGTGGTTCAGGTGGCCCTGGATAAGGTCTGTGAGCCCGGGTCGCACCAGCTGTTCTTAAGGATAATAGCATTCTCTTGTTAATTTTACTCAGTTTGATTTATTTCTGATTTTTTTCCTAGCGGATTCCCTTACCTATCAAAAAGACCAGACCTCCAAGGCTTTTCCTGTTTGCTTGCTTGTTAACTTTCTGTATGTTTCTCTGATCTCTCTTTTATATCACAATGCTTTCATCTAAAAACATTTGTAAATCTTTTAAATTAAACAATGAGAAATGTAGACTCAAAAAAAAATTGATTTTCATTGTGATCTTGACAGCTTTGCTATAAAGATAACCATTTTACAATTTGAAAATTTATAGTACTGTCTAGAAGAAGAAAATACAATCTGGAAATTCACTTTTAATTTATAGAATGTAAGTGTCATGTTTAGACACTGGAAAAGAAGAAATTTTGTGTCATCAAGATACAGCAGAATAGTTGTTGATTTAGCTCAGTGGTTCCTCTGCCTGCCTCACAAGTGTAGGTCCCGAGTTCAATGTCTGTTACCAAAAAAAAAAAAAA